TCCCGCTGCGCCCGCGCGGCTCCAGCCGCGGGTTCCCTGCGGTGTCTGCGCAGAGGGGGCTGCACGTGAATGCTGGGTGCGGGGTTAGCGGGAGAGCGAAAGACTTTCAATAGCAAAACCAACAGAAAGTCTCTTCCAGGAGGTAAGTGTGTCCTGTCCTGCCTTTGGACAGGCAGACAAATCGCAAGGACTATGGAAATCCCATTGAAGCCTCTTTTCTTTTTTTTTTTTCTTTTTCCATAAATATTGTCCCAGTCTTTCTGTCTCACAAGCAAAAACTATGCCCGTTTCTATTTTTTGGCTCTCCTGGCAGGAGCTGGCGACCTGACTGGCGATGCTATGGGCTACGTGACGGGCGTGCTGGCTGTGCTGATACACGCAGCCTACCTGGTGCTCATTCAGAAGACCAGCGTGGAGAGTGAGTACGGACCCCTGACAGCTCAGTACGCCATCGCTGTTTCAGCCACCCCTTTCCTCATCATCTTCTCCTTTGCCAGCATGGACTCCATCAACGTGTGGTCCTTTCCAGGCTGGAAGGACCCGGCCATGGTGTGCATCTTTATTGCTTGTGTCCTCATTAGCTGTGCCATGAACTTTACCACCCTTCACTGCACTTACATTAACTCAGCCGTGACCACCAGCTTCGTAGGGGTGGTGAAGAGCATCGCCACCATCACAGTGGGCATGGTGGCCTTCAATGATGTGGAGCCCACAAAGTTATTTATAGCTGGCGTCGTGGTCAACACCCTGGGTTCAGTCATCTACTGCGTGGCCAAATATGTCGAGACCAGGCAGAAGAGCAGCTACGAGGACCTGGAGAAAGAAGCCAAGGAAGAGGAGGAAAAGAGCCAGGCTGGGGAGCAAGTGATGTTTGCAATGGAGGCAATTTCCAGGGCGGAGGGGGCTGAGGAAGCAGCAGTGGAGGCCTTGGCAAGCGGGGACAGCCAGAGCCGCGAGGAGGAGGAGCGGAGCCCTGGGAAGCGCACGGAGGCACCGGCAGCTGCCCGTGGAGGAGACGCTGGCGCCGAAGGGGCGAGCAGGAGCTCGCTGAAGGATGCCTATCTTGGAGTGTGGAGGTTGGTGCGGGGGGCCAAGTACGTGAAGAAGGATTATTTGATAGAAAATGAAGAGCTGCCGAGCCCTTAGCCAGCAGGTGGAAAGAGCCAGTGGAACGTGTTGCTTGAGGGCAGACGGACGCCTCTCCGCATGGGGGGAAGGCAGAGCAAACATTTCTCACATCAAACGTGACAGGTCCAAATCATTTAGGATAATTTTACCTCATCATCCAAAAAGCCAGAGTTGGCTCGTGCTTCAGGCTTGCGGTGACCTGCTTTTAGTAGGACAGTTTAGAGCTGCCACGGCTGCGGGAACCACGTCCTCCGCTGCGGGCGCGGAGCCGGCTGGGGGGCCTGCGCTGTGGCCATGCCCGTTCCTGCCACGTTTGGTGGCCGTGGCCGTGGCCATGATGCGGTGGTGCCTGCGGCTTTGCTTTGTCTGGAGCCTGATGGGTTTGACCTCGGTGGGGTTGAGCTCGAGGGCTCTGTGGATGTGTTTCTGTGTCTGTCTCCGTGCACTTATAGGTGTTCTGTAGAAACATATCCCTGCAGTATGTAAACCTCTACAGATTGTACTTTTCTGTGCTCCTCTGTATCAGTATAACAGGGCTAGAAGCTGTGCCACTTTAATCATATTGGTGTAAAGTCACCCTCTTAACTGAAGACTCAGAATTTCCACAAGTTATGTGGCCAACCTGAGCCTTCAACCTAGTTTACACTCAAGTGGTTTTTGTCTTCAGCAGAACTACTTGTGTCTCATAGTGGTGAACCTGGGAGCAGAATCACATCTGAACGGCTGAGGAGCTTTGGTCAGCAAAGCAAGGATGCTTTTCCATGAGCTTTAAGTACACATCGCATTAGGAATATTAGCTTGACTCAAATAAAAGAGTTTGGAAATGCTGGAATTAATTGATTTGGTTTGGGGGGAGAATATTAAAGAAAATATAGGAAGAGAGTGCATAGTGCTATCCCCCTCTTCTACCCCAAAGCCGAGTCAGAGTCTGGATATGACCCCTCCATCTCTCCTTCACCTGAAGCACTTTGCTGGGCCCTGAGGGGTAAAAAGCTGCCTCGACCTCACATGTTGCGGCGCTTCTGTGGAAAGCGGGAAGCACCTGAGTTTCCCCTAATTAATATGCTGATATTCTGTGTCTGAAAAAAGGAAAGATGGAGAAAGCAAATGTTTGAGTGCTCCGTAGCTTGGGAATAGGAGCTGGGAGGTGGGAGTCCTGGCCTCCTGGGATTTGACTGTGTCTCCCTCATCCCAAGTGTCCCAACCAGTGTGCATCCGGACCACAGGCCAAAACAAATTGTTACCTTTTCCTGTGTTTCAGTAGATCTAGGTTGTTCTTGTCATTATTGTTACTATTTATTAAGCAACTGAACTGAAAATCAATTACTCCTGCAGCCCTAATTAAGCAGTGCCTACTCTGATGCCTTTGAAATCTAGCAGGTGGCATTAGCCTCCTAGTGCATTCGTCACTGCAATCAGCAGGACTGTGCACAGAAACAAGCAATTCGCCCAGCAGGGAGTATCTGCAAACACTGGTGTCTAGGCAAGTTTAGATTCTCATCAGATTAAATGCAGACACGAACATCAGGGTGCAATAGCGTCTTTTTTAAAAGCTGAGTCCAGAAGTTGGATGACCTGGTATCACACATGGATTTTGCAAAAGATGGTGAGAGAGACATTCTGACCAAACACCTGTAGCCGCTGTGTTGCGGGGCCCTGGCATGGAGATCCGTACATCACGCTTAATGTATAGCTTGTGCTGAAGCCCTGAGAGCTACTGGCCGTGTGCTGAAACACAAAGTTTACCTTCCGTTCAAGCCCCACGGGGCATTTTTCAGTAATATACTATTTGTTGCCTGTAGGCTAATGCCATAGGATTTTTGTTGGCTTGTTAGTCAAATATATCTTAGAGTCAGGAAGTTTGTGTCTATGACCGACACTGCAGTCTGTACAGGCGGCGGGAGGGAAGCCTGCTCTCCTGGTCCATCTCACTCCGTGCTCAGTGACTTGTTTCTACCAGGAATACAGTTTTTCACCACCGGAGAGATAGTCTTACAGATCTTGCAGAAAAAGTGCCTGTTTGGCACATGCTCTGGGAAGATCCCCTCCTGGACTCCCATCACAGGACTTTTCCCTTTCGGGGGTGTCTAATGTTTTGCTGCTCGTGGTTGAAGTACCAGTAGAAAAGTATGGAAATTCTAACAGGGTTGAGTGCCACAAAAGCTGCTGTTTTAGTGTTGTACATTTGCATGTATAGTAAAAATGTGATCACATTGTATTCTGTTTATACCTGTAAATTCCCTGAATTAAAAAAGGGATTTTGGCAAATGCAATCCACTTTTTCAGTAAAAGAGGCTGACTCACAGTAAAATAAAAATACTGCCTAGTGCTGAGGTATTTTAATAGCATCAGCAGAAGACTGAAGAATGAAATGTGGGAATAAAATGCACTGCTTTCCAAAAGCCTTTTGGTCTTATTGTTGCTTCTCTAGGGTGCTCATTTTTGTCTCACTTAACAGTTATTCTTGTGCCTTTATAACGTCCGAGTTTCCTCAGCATGTGACAGCACCTCATAAATACTGTCATTAACAGAGGGACTGGGGGTTAGCCAAAGGGGCGCAAGAAATCTGAAGTGGCCACCTTGTCTGTGGAGTTCAAGCAGCTGTTGTTCTCAGCAGTGATTTCTTTGGCTACGTATTTAAGGTGATTTCGTGTAACTGCTGTAAATTTAAAATAAAAAAATTAAATAAGATAACGCTCACTGTTAATAGCAAGATGATAAAATGGTTGCATTATTAAAGAACTTAGTATTATTTATTTTAAAAGTGTTTTTTTTTTTTTTTACTTTTTCCTTTAGACCAAACGTGTATAATAGGCTCAAAATGAGCAGTGCCACATGCTGGGGGTGGTGATCATTACCGAGGTCTTCTTGCAGGGCGGCTTGCAGGAAAAAAAAAGTCTTTGTTCCATAGTAATGAAAGGATATGATGCACGATGAGTGCTTTGAGAATAAATATTAGTTTCAGTGTCACTGTCTCATGGAGTAGCACCTGCTCTAGCACTCCTGAGGTAGCATACACGTGCACGCAGGGGCAAACCCAAGAGGAGGAAAGCCAGATGGGTATTAGCTTTCCTAAAATAAAATCTTAGCTGCAATATATTTATTCTCTAAATTAAATAAAAGAGAGACCAGAGGTATAGGGGCAGCGATAGCTAAAATTTCTAAGAACAAGTAAAATATTTACAAGCATTACCGATAAACTGATCCTGAATTTACCATTTCCTTGCTAGAAGGAAAACAAACAGCAACCTGAAAATAAACAGGCGAGAGTGAAATTCCCCATTTTATTAAACTACACTCTGCAGTCCTATATATGATCAAAAATTGTTTACTGGCGGTGCTTAATAGCTTCCACTAACTTGATTTTATCTGTTCACTGCAGGCAAAGGCTTCAGTACACAGAAACGTGTCGGAGCTTCGGCTCTCATCTCTAAGTTAACTTTTGAGTGTTTTCCTGCCTGGAGCAGTGAGGGTTTCACGGCAGAGGCTCCTGCCCTTGCTCTCTCTGCCCCTGTCCCATATAACCTGCTGTGTTGCTGCCGCGAGGTGCCATGCACAGCGCGGGCCACGGCTGGCGGCTCCGCTGGGCCCTCGCTCGCCTGCTGCGGGACTTGGGGACGCTCTGCTGGAACGTGTCCCTGCCCGCACGGCCGCCTCCTCGCCCCTGGCTTTTCATCCTGAGCACAAACGTCATCGTTTGGGGCAAGAATAGCTCGGCTGACCCGGCAGGGACGCGCCACAGGACCTGCCACAGAGGCTTCTGCCACATAATTTCCCTTTTTTTTCCTAGAATGAGGGGTAGGAGAATGGACCTGCAGGATTGCTCCTAGCTTCCTCCCTGCATGTGCCCGGGCACCGGGATGGCTGTGGCCGCTTGCCAGCAGCCTGCAGGGCCCAGCATGGCCCAGCCAGCCCTGGGGGCCGCACGGGCTCTCATGGGGCTGCGCTTGGTGTGGCAGGAGGCAGGAGGGAGGTCCCGAACCTGCTGGCCTCTGCGCTGGGCCTTCCCTCTCATGGATGCCGCTGTAGGTACTTGTTACACACGCAAGGCCAGCAGGAGGTTTCTTTTTTCTGCAGTTGAAGCATTGCTAGGAGTCAGACGAGGAGTCAGGTGAGTAACGAGCTGGAGCTGGTCATGATAGTAAACCAGCCAGGTTTACAGTCTGCTGTAAATATTGACTGCCATCAATAAATAGAATTGGTTACAGGCGGCTGGGTACGCTAAGTATCACCAAGAGCTTGGGTCTGGAATTGGCCTAATTCTCTATGTGGATTTTCAATCTTAGCTTCTCTGCTAATCTGTCATTATGATCTGCACAATTCCAAACGATATATGCTTGGTTAAAAGATAAAATATGGATTTTCCCTCTGATGACTGCAGCACCAGCCTGTCAGGGGGCCGAGGGCAAGCTGCTCATGTGTCATGGTGCCTCCGGGGATGACTGAGCAGCCAGGGCAGTGGCCGAGGTCCAACAACATATGTTATGACATGCCCACGAAAATCAGCTCAGTTCTTCCTTATGCCAATTTTACAGGGAAAAAAGAAAAAAAAAAAAAAGACAGTTCCTCAAGTGCAGTGCCTGACATTGCACTGGGACAGACTGTTTGCTGCTGCTGCTGCTGCTGCGTGTTGAGCACGAGAAAGCTGGTGCACACACAACACAGTGCACAGGCAGATGGTCCTGCCTCTGCGGGCTGCAACGTTTTGTAAAACAAGAGTCTGGGATGCATTTGCCCAGTGTCATTGTGGCTGGCGGGGGGAGAAATTGCATAACTTAGGAACACTGAGGTATATGTCTGCATAAAAATTCTCTCTCAAAAAAAAATTATTTCTAAGCTTCACATTTCAACGACTCCTAAAGGCAGAGTTTTCAAAACTGTTCATCTGTCGTTCAATTGATAACACCTGAGCATCAGCAGCATGGTCTGGACTAGCCCGGTTGTGATCCAGGTTGCCTTATATGCCTCCTGGGTGCCCAACTCTTTTGAATCAATTAAATGTTGCAGGGACAAGGGCT